TCTTAGGTAGTATAAGATGTATAGCAGTGTCCTGGCCTCTACCCAAGAGATGCCAGCAGAGCCACTTCTGCCACCAATCAAAAATGTCTCTGGACATTGCCAAGTATCCCCTGGGGGACAAGACACCCCGAGTTGAGAACCACTGTTCTAGAAGGAAGGGCAACTCTGGATAGACCGGTCCTGAAAACAAGGACCCAGAGTCCTAGCACTGATGTCAAGGCCATCTATTTATGGGTTCACCTTGCAGGAACTCCTCACGTCCAGGACCCCCGGTGGAGCCCAGAGCTGGAGCGCCCTGCCCGTCCCAGCCTGGAGGGTCCATCCCCTCTGTGTTCCGTTCACGGAAACTCAGGCCCTCGCTTGGTCAGGGTCACACAGCAGGTGGGTAAAGGAGTTGCAAGAAGAACCCAGGTCTCTGGACGACCCCCAATCTGGCGTTCCATATGCCCCACACTAGCAAACCTGCCTCACGTAACAGACCTGGCAGCTGAATCCCACTGGCCCAGCACCTGGAAGAGGCCATATACCCATCCAGCAATAAACGCACCCATCTCACAGCTCCTCTGAAGCCCCTGTGCAGAGTGGGGCTGTGTTTGAGTGTCTGGGGTCGGGGCCCAGAGATAAGATCACACGGATGTCCTTTGATCCAGGGAGGGGGACAAGGTGAAGGTGGCAGCACTGGGGATCAGGGGTTAGATGGGTGGAACTTGGCTGCTCAAAGGACTTTTTCTTTGTTAATTCTCACCTGAGGAAATTTTTTTTCCCATTGATTTTTCAGAGAGTGGAAGGAAGGGAAGGAGGGGGAGAGAGAGAGAAATATCAATGTGAGAGAGACACATCGGTTGGTTGCCTCCTACACATGCTATGACCAAGGCTGGAGATGGAACCTGCAACCCGGGTATGTGCCCTTGACCAGGAATTAAACCCGAGACCCTTCAGTGCATGAGCCGACACCCTAACCACTGAGTACACCGGCCAGGGCGCCCAAAGGACTTTTAAAAAGTGCATGTTTTCTGCAGATGTTGTGTGCAGCTGAGGTGTGGCAGCCCCTGACGTGTCCCTTGAGAGGTACCAGCAGTGCTGAGATGATGGCCCAGGAGAAGGGGGCTCCAGGGGCTGGTAGAATGAGCAACATTACGCCAGCCCAAGGTTTACATCCTCAAACAAGAAACCATTCCAGTCCGAGAGGGGCAGGGGGTGAACGTGGTGGCCCGAGGAGCCTGGAGTGGGTCCTGAAGAGACAAACCTTCTCCTTCCTCCTGAGGGACAAGATCAAGAACGGCCTACAGCTGACCCTCAGATGCAGAGCTTTAAGATCACCGAGGTTTTGAAACACGAGTCTTAAAAAACTGGTCCAGTTTGCTGTTCCACCATGAGGTCAGGTCACACAGGATGAGAGCATGTTTCCGAAGAATGCATCCAGCTTTCCTGGCCTCATAGCCACCTATCAAAATGGATACACTTCTATCCTCCTATTTGGCAGCAACTTGACGCCTACTCTCATCTGTGCCCACCATCTCCCACCTCCCCCACTGAGGGTGTGGGGTGAGGAGCAGGGCGCAGGGCTCCAGGGCTTCTCCGGGAAACAAGGTCACGTTTCTGAAGACCCGGAGGCTGAGGTGCCCCCGTTGTGCCAGAACTGGGGTGGGGGTGGGGGTGGGGGAGCTAAAGGATTCTGACTCGGATTTCAGCAGTTTCTCTCCTGGAAGCTGGGCCAGCACCAGCCCCAGCCTCAGGTATATCTCTGGGCTCCCTCCCCCTCTTCCCTTCCCATTGCTTCCCCCTCAGTGTTGGTCACCATCGTTTCATGCCAGTCACTGCAGAGAGACGTCAGTGGTCCCCCCGCTCTACTCTTGCCCCTCTGACTCATTCTCCACCCAGACCCAGAGTGGTCATCGCTCAGGTGTACATATAAACCCTACGCCACTCCCCTAGTCAAACTCACTGGCTCACGACTGCCTGCAAGTTAGAGCGGAAGACCTTGGCATGGCTCAGAGGCCCCGGATGACAGCCCCCGCGGCCTCTCGTCTCTCATCTCCCTCCCCTGTGTCTACGGGGCTCCTACCAGGTCTCGTGCTGGCTGATTGCTGCACATATTAACGTCTGTCTAGACTAGTGGTCGGCAAACTCATTAGTCAACAGAGCCAAATATCAACAGTACAACGATTGAAATTTCTTTTGAGAGCCAGATTTTTTAAACTTAAACTATATAGGTAGGTACATTGTTATTAACTTAGTTAGGGTACTCCTAAGGCTTAGGAAGAGCCACACTCAAGGGGCCAAAGAGCCGCATGTGGCTCGCGAGCCGCAGTTTGCCGACCACTGGTCTAGACCACTCTTCGAACCTGCCCTCTCAGTAGGATTTGCTAGGTATGACTTACGTGCCCCTTGTCTGCACTCCTGAACACCATTTATGCCCCCCTCCCCCATCAAAGCACTTGTCACTTCGTGTTCTTTCAGAAGCCACTCTGTAGCCCCCATAAAAAGGCTCTATAAGGGAGGTGCCTGGTCTCGGTTATTCCTAGACGCTCACATGTGCCTAAACCATAGTGGGCACTCAAAAATATGTGATGGATGGATGGATGGATGAAAAATGGACACGTGACTGACAGATGAAATAAACCACTCAGATCATGCGTGTTTTAGAAACCTCCTATTCCCCCAGAAAACCACCAGGTGGTACAGGAGAGCACATAATGTGGCCCTTGCAGCACACGGTGGAGGAACACTCTCCCTCCCTACACAGGCATGCGCTCCGGCTGGGGAGCCACTCCGCTGGAGGAGGGCAGGGAAAGCAGAAAGTCTCCCAGGGAGGGACCCTCTGGCTAAAAGGCATCACAGGAGGTCTTCCGTCTTCCTCCCGACTCTCTCAGGTGGTCCTTTTACTGTCTCAGAAAGTCTGCTGCCTCCTCTCTTGACTCACACATCCCTGAAGGCCAGACCCAGGTTACCCAGCTGAAACCTCAGTGCTGAGAGCAGCAGCCCTGGGCAGGCGCAGCCCGCCTTCAGGGAGGACAGTGGGATGGCTCCAGTCTCGGCTCCTTGACCGCCAGGGAGCTGCCAAGCAGTCGGAGTGATGGGGAGAGGGATACCTTCTTCTGGGAATCTTGATGGAAAAAGGAAGCCAGAAGCTGTTCATTAACTAGAAACACGTTGGCAGGGGGGAAAAAAGCCCAATTATTTAGGGTGCTTTTAACTCACAATTTAAAATCACAGCAGAAGAAGAACACAGAGTCAATCACCTTTAGCTGTTTCACCATTCTCCCTGGGACCCATTTTCTCCCAATAAATTCTTAAAAGTGAAGGGGGTTTAGGAATTATTTAGCTTCTTGCTTTTCAGACGAGGAAACGAGAGTCCGGAAAGGGACAGGATTTTCTTGAGGTTACACAGCTGGTTAGTGGAAAAGCAAGGAAAAGAACCCAGGTCTCCTGACTTCTGCCCAGGGTTTTCCCACCCAATTTCCCTAGTAAAGTTACTATTTAAAAAAGAAATATAGCCGAAACCGGTTTGGCTCAGTGGATAGAGCGTCGGCCTGCGGACTGAAAGGTCCCGGGTTCGATTCCGGTCGAGGGCATGTACCTGGGTTGCAGGCACATCCCCAGTGGGAGATGTGCAGGAGGCAGCTGATTGATGTTTCTCTCTCATCGATGTTTCTAACTCTCTATCTCTCTCCCTTCCTCTCTGTAAAAAAAAAAAAATCAATAAAAAATGTATTTAAAAAAGAAATATATATTTTGGCAGTTCCTCAAAATATTAATTACCATAGGAGCCCGTATTTCTATTCCTAGGCATATACCCCAAAGAATTACAAACAGGTTCTCAAATAAGTCCATGTACAGACATGTCACACCAGCATCATTCACGATAGCCAAAGGGTGGAAACAGCCCAAAGACCCATCGAGGGGAGACTAAATCAACAAATTTCATCATATACTAGTATGTACCATGACGTATTACTCAGACATAGAAAGAAATGTTCTGACACATGCTACCATGTGGATGAACCCTGAAGGCATTATGCTCTCTGAGAGAATGATTTCATTTATATGAAATATCCAAAACAGATAAATCCATACAGACAGGACACTGAGTGGCGGTTACCAGAGGCAGAGGGGAGGGGGGTGGATAGGTACAGGGTTTCCTTTTGGCGTTACGATAATGTTTGGAACCAGACAGAGGTGATGGCTGCACACATTGTGAATATACTAAATACCCCTGAATTGTTCACTTTAAAATGGTTAATTTTATGGTATGTGAATTTTGCCTTAATAATAAAGAAATATGTAAATAGCATGGATCTCTAAAATGTGCTCATAAAGATTAAAGAACAGAGGATGAGGAGGGTGGTTTATTCCACACGGTCATATAGGCGCCCTCGGTGCCCCAAGCCGGGTCCGCTCAGCCTATCTTGTACGTAGCTTGCAATCTTTCCTGTACATTCTGAGGA